ACCTGGACCATATAAACTACACCTGGATCATAGAACTATACCTGGACCACCTAAACCACATCTGGACCACAGAAAACACACCTGGACTATAGAAACTACACCTGAATTATAGGAACCACACCTGGACCATAGAAAGTGCATGTGGATCACATAAACCAAACCTAGACCATAGAAACTACACCTGGACCATAGAAACTGCACCTGAACCATAGAAACCGCACCTGACCCATAGGAACTGCATCTGAACCATAGGAACTTCACCTGGACCATATATATACAGGTAAACTGCACCTGATCCACAGAAACTGCATCTGAACCATAGAGACCGCACGTGAAACATAGAAACTACGGCTGCTAAATAAACCAACTGAACTGAACGGAGGTGCTTTTATTTTGAAGCAGTTGTCCGACTGTCTTTTAAACACCTGGTTAAACATCTGGCAGCCGTGGCGCAGTTCTTTGTGTTTCTGACAGATGGACCAAGTACCACATTGTTCATGACGTAGGGTTTGGACTCTTCTTGAAAGCGAGGAGAACAGAAGACAAACTGTCAGGCAGGTGATGGGGTGAGACCATGCTGACAGAAGACCAACGGTCAGATGTTACCACAGAAGACGACGCTGCAGAACGAAAGCACCGACAAAAACAACAAGACCGTCACACGACAGAAACGTAGCGCACGCCATCGTACGATGTCACTGTACCGTCTTCCAATCCAAACACAGTATACTGACCAAAACAGGAACGTTACGTCCACACGGCTTCACTTTTTACTAAAAACTCCTCATTTTCTCACGTTTTGCTTTAAAAGAACGTCAAAGTGCGTCAAGACTCGTGTCTAATTACACAAGTACCATAAATATTTACCTTGGAAAAACTTTCTGAGCAAGGCTTCCTCAGGATTCTCGTCTGCTGCCGTCATCATTTCATCTGAGAACCAAGTTAGAAGACAAAGGATTGCAGGCGGCAGCTGGTGGTTGATAAGAATAGAAGCTGTAGCAATAATCAAATCTTACAGAGGTCCTCTGCACAGTCTGGGTCAATGCCAACCATCGATTCATAAATGTCCTCAGAGCAACCTGAGAACTCCATGATGTCTTTCAAAGTGGTCGACATGGACTCGTAGACCTCCGCCTTGTTCTGCAGGTTCATGGTGTCCTCGAACCGAGACGCGAGCTTCTGTTCAGTCTCCTGAAGGTATTAAACACAAAAACTCCACAAACTTAAAAAACTGTCAACTTTATTATTGTTGTAAAGATCTCGTCTGAAATTCTACAAAAATAAAGATGACTTCTGTCACGGTCGGTGCAGGGTTGGACCCAGGTGTCAGCAAACACGAGAAGCACAGGAGGTTCAACTAAAACTTATTTATAAAAAACAGAAACTAAAAGCTGGCGTGGATTCACGGGAGAGCACGAGCCCAAGTAGAACCGAGACGTACATGATGTGTGAGCGTGGACGGGGGTGGGTGGACAGCGGCAGCACCCGGGGGACCAGGCGAGTGGTAACTGACTGAAGGTAAAAATGAGAAGTGTCAGGAAACACTGAAAGATAAACTAAATAAATGAAAACACTGACGTCATTAAAGCTGCTTTTCTCTGCTGCTCTATTTAGGGTCGTCTACATTCTTGTTCACCACCGGTGTTGTGCACAAATGTGTTCAAACGAGTGGCGTTCTGTGGACTTAGACTCTAAAGGGGTCGTCTTGGCATTTTAGAGGTAATGTTCGTGCCTTTTTCCTCGCTCGCTCTCGTGCAAGGCGGACGCTTTTTCTACTCCTCCTGCTTTTTTTTTTGCTCTCTGTGTATCGGAGCTCCTATTTGACACATTTTTACACTAAAACTACTGTCATGGATCTGGTCAGTTGGAATTTCAACACAATCGATAAAATCTTTTCAACAAAGCGACAGGGTCCTGGAGAGCCCTCATGCCCCACTGAGACGCATGCTGCAGGATACGTCATGGATCCGTGGGGAGTTTGGGAGTTGATGTGTCTTTCTGTATTGTCTCAGGAGGACGCCAAAGACGTTTATATCATTGGATTCATGATAGCAGGGTTTCTGCTTTTTGGCATCAGTGGATTCCCGTGTTATCGGCTATTAAAGAAGACGGCGGCAGCAGTTTCGGCCATGGTAAACTGCCGAGTCTGTGTGAAGGTTTGGGTTGTGCTTCGAGTACTCAAAATCAGCTGATTTATGAGCTCAACCACAAGATAGAAGCGATTTGTGAGAATCCAGGCCACCTGCGTCTTCTGGGACTGGCCAACATGTTGGGGACGACCTTGGAGGGAGCTCATAAGCACGGACCAGTGGAATGCCCATAAATCTGGCCATTTTGGATTGAAAGTACCAGAAGGACTCAAGGCTGATGAGAAACAACAGTCTGCCTGAAAGAAATCAACAATTGTGGTTTATCTGAATCTGACTCCCCCGTTTGGCCTCGAAGCAGACCAACTCATGAAATTTCTCCAGGTACATGTGTAAACTAAGGGATCCACAAACGCTAACTGCCCTCCCACAGAAAGGACTACAAATGAGCTACAGGACAACAGGACGTGTGTGAGTGGATCTGGAACCATTTCGTTAAAGATCTCAAGATGCCAGAGGACACTGAAGGTCCTAAATACGAACAATTTTCTTTAGGAAAACATGTTTTGGTTTCTCGCTGCGTTGCTCTGTGGAGCTTTGGTTGCGTCATGTTCAGAGTTTCATGAGAGACACTTTGTTGTTTTTGACTTTATCTTCATTTGACTTAAATACGGTTCTTAATTTACTAATATTGTTGTTCTACCTCTTCTGCTTGCCGTACACGGTGTTTTCTTAAATTGTTTGAAATTCCAATAAAGATATTTTTGGTTTTTGTTTGGGCAGCACGGTGGCACAACTGGTAGAGCTGTTGCCTCTCAGCGAGAAGGTTGTCGGTTCAAATCCCGGTCCGGGGGTCTTTCTGGGTGGAGTTTGCATGTTCTCTCCGTGCTGCGTGGGTTTTCTCCGGGTACTCCAGTTTCCCCCCACAAATCAAAAACATGCATGTTGGACTGATTGGTGAATCTAAACTGTCTCTAGGGGAGAGAGTGAATGGTTGTCTGTCTCGTTTGTCTCTATGTGTCCCTGTGATGGACTGGAGACCTGTCCAGGGTGTCCCCCGCCTCTCACACAGTGACTGCTGGACATGGGCACCGGCGACCCCCGTGACCCAAAAGTGAAGCAGTGGGTAAAAGACGATGGATAGATGGATATTTTTGGTTTAAAAGGATCTCCTAGATAATCGAAGGAGAACTCGTTGGTTTTTGAAGGTCGTGGTGAAGGTCGCCGAACGATGAAGAACTTCGGCTTCGATTTTTGTAAACTTTGATCCTTTCAGGTTTGAGCTTCAGTCCAAGCTGATGACATAAATCTGAGAAGTTTACCTTCATGTCCTGAGAAGACATGGGCTCGTAGACCTCCGCCTCGTTCTGCAGGTTCTCCGTGTCCTCAGCCTCAGACGTGTGCTTGTCTTCGGTCTCCTGGGCGGATTTAAACACGAAATATTTAAAGAACAGTTTAAAGTATTACGGCACTATGATCTATTGTATCTGGTTAGAAAACGAAAAGTGTTTCTCGAAGGACTGACAACAAACTGGTCCATGAAGCGTCTGAGCTCGGTGAAGCCGCTCTTCTCTGCCAGCGTGTTTGGATAGTCTCCGTTCTTGTTCATCACGCTGTAGGCCTGCAGAGCTCCGGGACACTGGAGGAGCGCCGCGGTCAGCTTCTTCAGGCCGAACTTCGCAGCGAAGTGGAGCAAGGTGGGAAGTTCCTCGTTGCGCTGGTCTGAAACGCAAATCGTTCATCAAACGGCGGCGCTTTGAGTTTCCGGTAGTCTACTGTGTTTCGACAAGACGTTTATAATAAACCCACATGTGGACATGTTGCGTTCTTCGATTTGTGTGACGCCGAACATCCGGAGGCCGTCCGCAGGCATCCTGGACTTTAACGAGTCCGTTAGCATCACGTCCAGGGATTCGGTCGAGTCGGAGGTGAAGTCGAAGGCCTGCGGAGTAAAACACGAGATAAACGGACGCGTTGCCAACGGGAAAACTGAAGAAACGTTGAGGCTGCTGCCCCGAACTTCGAATGAATTCATGAAAATCTAAATTCAGAACAAACGTTGGAGATTACATGTATAAACTGTGAAAGGCACCAAGAGCCAAAGAAATATTACAGCTGTACATTGTGGTCACCATGGTAACCACACACCTATGTGTCTGTCACTCCCTGACTGCCGAGTTAACGACAGGCAGACAGACTCCAAAGTAAGCCTCAAACAAACCAGGAGTTCGATCTGAAATGTTCTTGAACCGTGAGCGACAGAACGTTTTGATGGTCGAAGTTTCTGCAGTTTTTTCTAATGAAAAAGAAAAACAGCCTTCAGTTCCAGTTTGACATGAATTATTTATTTTAGGGAAAATAAAACTGAATCTGTGGAAGTCTGTCTGTTCTCTTTGCATTTCAGGGCGATCTAAGTAGGGATGCACCGATCCACTTTTTTTTTCCTCACTTCTGATCCGATACCGATACATGCAGTTTGGTGTCTGTCGATATCGATCCGATACCGATACACACATTTTATGGTCGATATCGATCCGATACGATACATGCAGTTTATTATCCGTTGATACCGATCTGATACCGATACACACAGTTTATAGTCTGTCGATATCGATCCGATACCGATACACATAGTTTATGGTCTGTCGATATCGATCCGATACCGGTACATGCTGTTTAATTTTACGTTGATATCGATCCGATACCGATGCACACCGTTTAATATCTGTCGATATCGATCTGATACAGATCCGATACAGAAAAACAGTGCTGAATTAACAAAAATGATTTGGCCATTTTCGTTATTGTCTACCTGGATGATTGATCTCACAAACCCAGTGCTGAATTAACTTAAAACATTTGTTTGTTTAAATGCAGACATAAATGTACTGAATTACAAATTTATTGACAACTCTGCACCATAACAGCACAAACACCAAGAGCTTCACAAGCTCGGTCAAACATGTAAAAACAAGACAACTTTAATTTGGTCAGTCAGTTCGCTAGTGCGTGACGTCACTGAGGGCACAAAGCAAAGAATTAGAGTGAATAGATCTGCCCAGTCATGGATCGGTTACATTGTCACCGATACCCGATCCAAAAGTTTTTATTTTATTTTTATTTTATTGATATAGGTGCCGATACCGATATTGGCATTGGATCGGTGCATCTCTAGATCTAAGAGAAAACCATCAGCCCTACAGCAGTGAGAGCATTGGCGTCAGAAGCATTTAATGTGTGTGTGGGGGGGTTACACGCTGGTGGTGGGGGTCGTCTCGCAGAAAATTTTGAATTAAGTAGATGCTATTTCCTGCATTCTGGCGTATTTTAACAGGTTGCTAAACATCTACGTTTACTAAGTAAACATTTGATTTGGTAACTATTTTAGAGAGCAACAAGAAGCAGCCTGACCAACAGCTCTCCTTGTGTGACTAGAGCGCACTCTGCATCTCCAACCCCCCCCCCCCCGAAAACTGCCAGAACTAACATAGCACTAAGCTAGCAGCGCGCAACACAGACATGTTAGCTAAGATGCTACAGACATAGCGCACTGGTTCTCTCACACATCCAAACCCCCCACCTCCATCAACAACTGCCAGCACTAATGTGGCTCTGAGCTAGCGTGCAAAACAGAGGTGTCTCCCCCATGTGCCAAGCCAGATGACCTCGAGGAAACACTGCATGGAGTCGTTGTCGGTAACCAGGAAAACCTGGAGTGGATTTTTACTGGTTTGAGTATTCTCCCATTAATCAAGTGGAATAGATTTGTTCATGAAGAAATAGAAACAGCGCCAAGTGAATTGTTTCATGGTAAATGTGTGTGTGTGTGTGTGTGGGGGGGGGGCACGTCCCCATTACATATAATTGTTGCGACGCCTATGAGTGAGAGACACACGCAGTGAAGACAGAAAAAGACGTCGTTTTGACGTATAATTTCTAGTACTACCAAAAAAACATTGAAGTAAAAAGAGTTTGTTTGTAAAATAGTAGAAACTTTAAAACCATTTAAAAGTTGCAGTGTGACATCATCAACTGTCAGCAGATCATTCCACTGGGACATCTGTCAAAATCCCAACATTCAACCTGCGATTGTGTCAAAAGTGTCGAAGAAATCTACAAACAGCTGTTCGGTCACGTCACGTCCGTCGTTCTGACCCGTTCAAACTCTGAGCGACGGTTCTGCTGTGGAGCCGGACCCAAACAGGACCGGGGATTTTACAAGTTTTGTCTTTGTTGTCGCCGCAGCGTCATTTCCCCGTCGAACACGTTTTGGTGTTTGAGTCAAAGCTAAATGTTTTTACAGATTTGTGATGAAGGAGCTTCAGAGGTCACAAATACTTTAAAACTTTTCTCACCTGGCAGATAAACTTCAGCGGGTCGGCAGATTTTTCAAGATGTCGGCTGACTTCTGCCATGCTGGTGTGATACGTGACCGTCTTCAGGCCGACGCGTGATTGGTCCGTGCACAACGTGAGCGTCGTGTCTCCAGCCGGCATGTCTGCGCAGAAAAACAAGCAGAGGTTCAGAAACGCTGCTTCAAATAAAACAGATCAATGAAAAGGATCAAGATGAGTCTGACGAACAGCTTCAACAAGGACCAAACGTTTCTCCGTGTCCTCTCGTCAGTTCTGAGCAGCTCTGTCTCCAAATCGTCTCAGATTTGTTGTGAACTCGTCTCAGTCGGAGTCAGAAACCTGAGGAAACGTCGCTGTTTCCAGTACCTGACTGGGCGGAGGCTGAACCCACTCACCAGGAAGTGGTTTCAGTTTCCCAGCAGCCTCGTCTTTCTGTTCAACAGTTGCGGAGTTGTCTCGGTTTGTCTCCAATCTGTCTCAATTTTGTTGCGAGTTTCTCCTGTTGGTTTTAAGAGTGCAGGAGCTTTATTTTGAAGCCTACAGGGACTGCATAAAATAACAGCTCCTCTTGGTCTGAGGCCATTTTTCTCCATCAGAAACAGGTGGACACCCCCCCCCCCCCCCCGGTCAGGGGGCTCTGTGCCTCAGGTGGAGGAGTTCAGGTCTCTGGGCGTCTTGTTCCTGAGTGATGGGAGGATGGAGCAGGAGACGGATCGACAGATTGGGGCCTCGACCTCAGTAATGAGGGCGTTGCTCCGGTTGGTTGTGGAAAACAAAGTCAAAGCTCTGGACTGACTGGTCTGTCTTTGATCCAACCCCCACCTGGGGTCAGGAGGTTGGATCAGGACCCAAAAAACCAGATCCTGGATGAAAGAGCTTCCTTCATAGCGTGGGTGGGTGCTCAGCCTTAGAGACAAGGTCATGGAGCTCCGTCATCCAGGGGGAGCTCAGATTAGAGCTGCTGCTCCTTTTCATCTAAAGGAGTCGGCTGAGGAGGTTCATCTGATCAGGACACCTCCCTCTGGAGGGTTTCCTGACATGTCCCACAAGGAGGAGACCCAGAACTCTGGAGGGATTGTGCATCTTCGCTGGTCTGGGAGCACCCCGGGGTCCTCCAGGAGGAGCTGGAGCGTCTCTGTGGAGACGGAGGTCTGGGTTTCTGTGCCCTGACTATCATGAAACAGTAAAAGATGGAGATTCATCCAACCTTTACCTGTACAGGTTAGTCTCACTGAGCCTCGAGGACGCAGTCACAGGAGAGACCAGTGACACGGTCCGAACGTGACCACGTTTATTTAAAAAGTGCTCCGGTACAATAAAGTTGTGCATTTTCTCACAACATTTGGTCAAGTTGTAGTTTCCAACTAGTTGCACCTTTCAGGACCTGTGGGACCAACATGGACCTAAACTGACCCTAACTGGGCTGACTGGAGACAAAACAGAAAATAAATTGAGATCAAAGTGAAACTAATTAGAACACGTTGTGACTGAACGGTGGTTTAAAAAAAACTGCAAATCATTTGGAGGAACGTGTGAAATATTGTTTGTTCAAGAGTTTGTTGTAAAAATTCAGAATTTTGTTTAAATTTTCTTCCTGGTCTGCATCCCGGACCGGTCCCGGGTCTGCGTCCCGGACCAGTCCCAGCCCAGTGAGACACAGGCGTCCCCTGCTGCAGAGATGTCTCAGGACAAACGTCCTGCAGATACTGACCGGGCGCAGAAACACTGAGCGTGTACTCGTTCAGGACCGCGGCTCGGACCCGCTTCAGACGGCCGGTCTCAGATGAAAACTCCACCTCTGGTTCTGACCCAGAATCTACTCTGGACGTTAAAATGATGTAAAGTGTCTCGTGCTCCTGAAAGAAGACACACGCAGAACAAAAAGACATTCACTGGGTTCATTAATGTATAAAAACACAAACATCCAAATGTGTGAAATACAACAATAAAATATTTCTAACAATAAACTCATAAAAATAAACTTTGAAGTAAAAAAGATGATCCTCAAATTACAGCAAATTATACAAAAAACTAAATCTTAAGAAGTAAGCGCGTTTAGAAAATATAATTTTTAGACACGTGTTTGCAGACGACACTGATCTGTGGTGAGGACAGGGCGCAGGTGGAGGAGAGCCTGGAGAGGTGCAGGTTAAACGTTAGAAAGTGCTGGTTTAAACTAACTTTGATGCAACTCCACCGTTTGATTCAACATGGCTCATATTTCACTTGTGATGCAGTTTTATGCGTATTAGTACAAACGCTCTTGTTGTTGTTTACTCGTTTTAAATGAGCGGTGTCTCCTGGTCGTCCTGGCGGCTTCGGTCTTACCCCACAGAGGACTCTGGCAGGCTGGACGGTGAGACAGGTGAGGTCTGCAGGTGAACTACGTGTTCTGCTCGTTGGATCCTCGGCGCTCACAGACTCTTCGTCCTTTGGCTCTGTTGCTTTTTGCTCTTTGGTCTCGTCTTCCTCCCTCGGACCTGACGGGAGGTTCTCCGTCACGAGCAGCTCCACCTCGTCGGCTTCATGCTCCACCTCGGCTCCTTCACCTTTAAACAAAATCATATATTTTTAAATTAACACCTAAACACTGAAAAACATCACATTTCCTGTAAAATAACTTTAAAGTTCTTTAAGATCAGCAGGTTTTCATTTCTTTGTGCTCTGAAACGATTTCATTACAGAAACTTTTTATGATCTACGTCAGAAAAGTTTCTTTTTTCTTGTTGAAGCGAGAAAAAAAGACTCAAATGAAAGAATCGTTTGTTTTTGTGCGAGTTCTTCTCAAATCTGACGTTTCTCTATGAAATGGAACGTCCACCTCAGAGGATCGACGTTTGACGTCTCCAACATTTTACAGATAGATGTTTTTTATAATGTGGCTGAACTTTAGCTTTAATAGATTAAATCAAAGTTCTGATGTTTCCTGTTTGTTTTAGTCCACAAGATATTTTTAACCAAACTACATCTGCAATCTTTGAGCCGTTTAGCCTTTCATAGAAATAAACCTTCGGCTCATACAGCAGATGAGTGCTGTGACTTTTAGTTTGTGTCACTTTTCAGAATATTTAACTTTATTTACAAATGTTGATCTCCTCAGTTCGTCCTACAACTTTGATCTCTTTGAACCTGCTTCAGCTACTAGCTCTGTTTCTTATTTATTTTTAATTTGACCTTTAGTTTTTCTGATTAATGTTTGAGAAACACGACCTGTTCTCGTCTTCTTATGATACGTTTAGCTTTTAGCTAACTTTAGGCTACGTCTAAACTTTCAGCTAGCTGTCTATTATTTTGAATTTTTTTTACTATTTTAAGCTTTTAGCTACTTTTAAGTTCTTTGGTAGCATTTTGATACTTTTGGCTTCAAGCTACATTTGTGTTACTTTTAGTATTATCTACCCTTTTTTATCCTTTTAGCTTTAGATCCTTTGATGTTTTAGCCTGTTTGCTACTTTTAGTTCCCATGTAGCGTTTTGCTACTTTTAGCTTATAGCTTAATTTTGGCTACATTTGGTTAGCTTTTAGCTACTTTTGTATTTTAGCAAACTTTCCCTGCTTTTAGCTACCTTTGTGTTTCATTTGCAACTTTTAGTTCCTATGTAGCATTTAGTTACTTTTAGCTTATAGCTTAACTTTGGCTACATTTGTTAACTTTTCCTACTTTAAGGTCTTTGGTAGCATTTTGTTACTTTTGACTTTTAGCTACATTTGTGTTATTTTTATTATTATCTACACTTTTTTATTATTTTAGCTTTAGATCCTTTGATGTTTTAGCCTGTTTGTTACTTTTAGCTCCTGTGTAGCATTTTGCTACTTTTAGCTTATAGCTTAACTTTGGCTACATTTGGTTAGCTTTTAGCTACTTTTGTATTTTAGCTAACTTTCCCTACTTTTAGCAAGATGTGGTTACTTTGGTCTTTTAGCTACATTTGTGTTTTATTAGCTACTTTTAGTTCCTTTGTAGCATTTTGCTACTTTTTGCTTGTAGCTTAACATTGGCTACATTTGGTTAGCTTTTAGCTACTTTTATATTTTAAGTTAGATTTTCCTGCTTTAAGCAAGATGTTACGTTTAGCTTTTATCTAGCCGTTTGCTCCTATAAACTTTTGACCAACATTTCACTACTTTTAGCTAGTTTTTATTACATTAAGCTAGCATTTTGTAACTTTTAGCTTTCAGCTCGTGTTCTGGTTTCAGTTGTTTTAAATCTTTGTTCCAAACTGAGACAAACTTTGGGAAAAACACCTAAAAGACTAAACGTGATGAAGAAGTTTATTTTACTGTCAGCGATGGAAGCCAAAATGGTTGAGATGTAAACCGTCGGCTCGTCTTCTGGCTGGAGTTTCCTCCACTTCGGCCAGTCCACGAACGTCTCGGTGGACACTTCCTCCTCGGACACTCCGCACAGCAGCGCCACCACCTTGTGTGGAGGACTGAGGAGTCTCTGGAGCGCTCCGTGCAGCTCGTGGTCGCAGAGGACGTCGAGGAACGCCGCCGTGAGGATCAGCACGACGCAGCGGCAGCTCTGGAAACCCTCGAAGTTGTAGCCGTGGAGCCGATCGGCGGCGCTCACGGCGTACAGCAGGACCGAACCTCGGGGGAACATCTGGGACGAGTGCAGGATCTGCTGCAGATAGGAGGCCCATTCCTGCGCTTCGTCCGTGTGCAGAATCAGCAGCTCGGGGGCTGAGACGGACTCAGAGGCTGAAAAACAGAATTCACTGAAGGCGGCTCGACAGAAACGACGCAGAGCTGGAGCAGGTCCAGAACTTCAACAGCGCCGATTTTTGACAGAACATTTTGAACTTCCTTCATTTTGGAGTTTAATTAGAGAAACAGTACAGAGCTGAAGTAAACTGTGACGGAGCAGATTTCTCTGTAACTTCAGCTGATAAACTGATCATTTTAGCCATTTTTAGATAACAACAAGCTAACACCCTCTGACACAAGCTAAACAAAAACAAACAAGAAACAAAAAATAAAACCAATAAAAAACTAGAGAAATCACAAAAATATACAGACTGAATGCTTATTGCTGAAGAACTTGCTGAAAAACAGCTGAAATTAGCTAAAAACATGCTGAAATGTAACTGAAGTGGAAGAACAAGCCTAAGTTAGCAGAAGAAAGCAGAAAGGACACATATTTGCTAAATTAGCTTTAAATAAGCAGAAATTAGCACAAAAATTGCTTAAAAATAGCTGAAAAGCAGTTGAAAAGGCAAAAAGAAGCTTAAACTGTCATGAGGAAGTGGAAGGAGCTGAAATTAGATGAAAAAAGTAGCTGAAAAAGCTCAATTTAGCACAAAAAATGGCTAAATTGTAGTTGAAATAGCAGAAAAAGTTGAAATAAGCAGAAATAAGTTAGAAGAAGCACAAAAATATTTTAGGAATAACCTGAAAGGAGCATAAGCTGAAATTAGCATAAAAAAGTTTATTACGCTGAAAGTAGCAGAAATTACTACAAAAAACAAATTTATTTGAAAACAGCTGAAATTAGCTAAAAATGCTAAAAGGTAGCTGAAAAGTTAGAATAACCTAAATTAGCAGAAGACAGCAAAGGAACATGTTTGCCTAATTAGGCTGAAAGAAGCAAAAATGAGCACATTTTAGCTGAATTAGGCTGCAAAAGTTGAAATGAGTGAAAAATTTTTTTTAGAATTAGCTGAAAAGCTAAAATTTAAAAGTAAAACAGCTAAATAGTAGCTGAAATAGCAGAACAAGCTGAAATAAGCAGAAATAAGTTAGAAGAAGCACAAAAATATTTTAGTTAGCAGAAATAATCTGAAAGGAGCACAAAACAGCTGAAAACAGCTGAAAGTAGCTGAAAAATAGTTTAAATTTGCAGCAGGAAGCTGAAAGAAGCTGAAGCAGAACAAAAAGTGAAAGGAGCAGTAAAAGGTTGTAAACAGAGCTAAAGATCTGAAGGATGGAAAATGAGCTCAATTTTCTATGAGAGAAAAATGTCAGAAAAGGCTAAATATTTCAAAAAGCTAAAGTTGCACCAATACCAAAAGTGATAGCAGGATTGTCCTGAACGAGCCGAATGTTTTGATTCATGACTTGTTGAAATAGTTTGAAATCTGCAGGACAAGAATCGTGCTGACAAACGTACGAAGAAAACTGGATGACAGAGTGAATGATAAATATTCAGACACGTCGCCGTGATGTTGAAATCAGAATGACCGGACGATCTTTATTTACCGGGACAGCAGGTGTTCTCAAATGATCCGGTCTTACCGGCCAAAGGCCCAGTTTATGTGAGTTTAGGTTAAAGTAACATTTCTGCTGCGTTTCGGCTGTTTGTGTACACAACGACACCCGATGTTTTCTCTGACGCCAAAGCTCTTTGCGTTTCGAGGTTTTTGGAACAGCATGGCAGTACCACGATGCTAACGGGACCACGTTGCTAACGGGACCACGTTGCTAACGGGACCGCGCTGCTAACGGGACCGCGCTGCTAACGGGACCGCGCTGCTAACGGGACCGCGCTGCTAACGGGACCTTAACGGGGCCGCGCTGCTAACGGGGCCGCGCTGCTAACGGGGCCGCGCTGCTAACGGGGCCGCGCTGCTAACGGGACCATGCTGCTAACAGTAACAGTTGTTAACAACAGCTGTTGTTATTGTTTATGTTTTATTCGAAGCCTGTATTTTGTAGTTCTGTGAAGCCCTTTGTGATTTTATCTATGAAAAGTGTTACATAAATAAAGTTTACTTAACAGTGTTTATATAACACTATTTTTTGTTTTGATTGATTTGTGTGTATTATTGTCTGTACTTCAGATGTTGTCTGTGTAAATCAGGTCTCTCTTGTAAATGAGTCCTCGTGACTCAGTGAGACGAACCTGTCAAAATAAAGCTAAATAAATAAATAAATAAAAACATTAGGAGTGAGTCGCTCTCCATTAGCTTTAGAAAATGGGAGACAAACCTCAGACTAGAACCTTTTTGTGGACCGTTCACACAGAGGCGACTCTGGGTCACGGATGGTTCTTCGGCTTTAATGACGTGAACTTGAAGCAGAATCTGACGTTTCATGAAACTGAGCCCAGACGGAAGATGTTGGTTCACGTTTCACTGCCTCCCCTCAAACATCGTTCCGAAACCAACAGTCCCTTTGAAAGGTCAAACCGCTGAAAGGGATCGCTGCTTGAAGTGAGGTTGCAGAAAACTTTTAACAATCAGCCAAGTAGGAAAAGTTGGGGACTCTGGGACTAAAGTGCAGACGTCATGTCGATTTTCTTCAGGGACATAAAGTTTATTTACCTCCAGGGAGCACAGGTCAGTGATCGTGATTCCAAGCTCGAGTAAACGATGAGGGTTGAGTCAGGAAGGGGAACGCTTTTGCCAAAACTATAACGCGAGTTCATCAAAGTGAAACCATACCGGATCGGTGGAGGCCCGGGTCAACAACCGCCACCAGTGCTGCTGACAAACAGGGCGCTGGCAGAATATGTGATGCTGTTAATGGAAGACCACGAGGAGGGAAAAGTGTCAGGAGACAGAGGAGAAGAGGAAAGACTGAGGGCTGCAACTCTAAATGTGGGGACAAGGACAGGCAAAGGTAGAGAGCTGGCTGACATGATGCTGAGAAGGAAGGTAGATGTTTTGTGTCCAAGAGACCAAGAGGAAGGGCAGCACGGCTCGCAGCATTGGAGCAGGTTCAAACCGTTTCACCACGTTGGAAAAACAAGTCGAACCAACTCGTGAAGAGAAAATGTTCTCCACAAAGAATGGAGGAAAACACGATTCTCCAACGGAGGCGTCCGAAGCAAAATGGCGTCTGGACTGAACCCAGACCTGAAGAGTGGAGGCTGCGGATCAGACGTGAGGGGGTTCGCTAGAGTTAAGAGCAACTCTGCGTCAGTGGAAACGTTCTGTGCACGTGATCAGTTAAAGAAAAGACCAGCAGGGCCTCTAAACGAGCTCCGGCCCCGATCCTGGATCCAGCCCTGCAGGGCTCAGATCCTGGACCCAGTCCTGCAGGGCTCAGATCCTGGACCCTGGTCTGCAGGGCTCAGATCCTGGATCCTGGTCTGCAGGGCTCAGATCCTGGATCCTGGTCTGCAGGGCTCAG